AAAGGGATTGGATAGCTTGCTGATAATGTAAATGAGGTACATGGCATGTGCAAATAAGGTTAAGTAGCTCTGGTAGCGTAGTGCCTAAGGCACTTGACTGCTAACCAGAAGGCTGGTGGTTCAAACCCACGAGCCACTCCTCAGAAGAAAGATGGGGCGATCTACTTCCGTAGTGATACTGCCTTGGAAACCCAAGGAGGGGTCGCTATGAGTCATGTCCCACTCGACGGCACATTAACAACAACAACAGCTCTAAGGTGGAGATTGGTTAGTTTTGCCATCTGCTAGGGTTAAAATAAAATGAGCTATCCCAGAGGCAAAGAGGGAGCTTATTACCATCAAGAAAGAAGAGCCAGGAGTGTAGGGCACCTTTGGACCCAAGATCCCTGCGCTGGACTTCCTCAACCCAGGAGACAAAGAAAGAGCTGTAACACTTTGCTGAGATGGTGAAAGATGATGATAAGAGCAGCAGAGAAACTGTGGCAGCAGTACCAAGAGCCCAGCACAAGACAAAGCATCTTTTGCCACGGAGCAAAGCTGAGAGCCTTTGCTGGTGGACTGGAGTGCCTCTCTGAGCACCTTATCAGAAGAGCTAAAAAAGCTTTGTAAACACTTGCCTGAGCAGGACAGAGGCCAACAGGTCACAGGGCCCAGAGGCCAACGCCAGAGAGAGACCTGCCTTTGAGCACAGCTGAGAGGAGGCTGCCCTGATCAAAGAACTGTGTCTTGAGCATTCTTGGTCCTCAATTGTCCTGTTAATTCTCTAATAAACCCCATTATCCTAATGTCTGTGAGTTCCAGGTGGCCACTGCAACAAATTATCGAACCCAACAGAGAGAGCTGTGGGCATGATGGTGGGTGCAGTAATTGGTAAAAAGGTTGGTGAGTGGAGGCATATCTGATCTCTGCCTCATAGGAATCAGCCTTTAGCTGCTGGTGTTGATTCTCTCTCTCTCTCCCTTGTGAAGTTAAAGGAAGTGACCAAAGCCCTTTTTGCAAGATGACTTCAGGGGTATCTTTGGTTTAAAGCTTAAAGATTATCTCAGGTCAATACTTCCAGGTGTTCAGCCACCCTGTCTATAGTTCATAAGAATTTGAAATTCTGCTCTGCATTTTGCCCCTTATGATCAAGATTCTTCTATGGAATCTTTGATCAAAGTGCTCAGTAATGGTAGCCAGGCACTATCCAGTTCTGGTTTCATGGCAAAGGAGACAGTTGTTCCTGGAGGCAATAAGCCATTCATTCTGTATTCTCCTCCTTCTATTCCTGACTCTATTCTTTCCTCTTTTGTTCCAGGTGAATAGAGACCAATTGTTGTGCCTTCCATGGCTGTTTGCAAGCTTTTGAAGACCCCAGGCACTATGCAATGAATAGAAGGTAGAACAGAAGCATTAAACACATTGTCTGGTCAGGTCAATTACCTGGCATATCCCTTGAAACCATGACCCTAAAACTTAACCAAGGAACCAAATTCCATGAGGGTTTTGGTTGTACATAAGCAGCCTCAGTAGGTTTTTTTTTCCCTAAATTGTTGTAAATATATCTACCATACATCTTCTGCCAATTCAACTACTCTTGAATGTCACCGTGTATATATAACATTACCGATTTGATCCTGAATTCTTGTGCTACACAGGAAATGCAAGTTCATTTGTCACCAAAGTTCATTAGGACAAAAAAAAAAAGCATTCTTACAAGGACACACTCCTTTCTTTCTTCTTTGAATTGGCAACTTGAAAAACAATTTTTAAAGAACTTTCCTAAAAGCAGAAACCAAGATCCCATGAAAACAGAAGTGTTCTTTGTGGAAGTTTTGCAATCATTCCCATGGTTCCTACAGTTGCCCATAACTCTGATTCATGGCAACCCCAGGTGTTTAAGAGTAGAACCGCTTTTAATGACAGATTTTGCAGATTGCTAGGCATTTCTTCCTAGGTGGACTTTCTGGGGTAGACTTGAACTTCCAACTTTTCAGTTAGCTGCCAAGAATGCTAACTCTTAAGCATCACCCAGGCATTCCTTTAAAGCACAGTTGAGTAAGGAAACCTGGGTTCTAGTTTCTGCTCTACCTGCAACTAGCCCTTTGACAGCAAGACATTGTTTTACTTTCCCTTTGAAGCACTTGTAACTATGGTCACATTTTCATCATATTGGCTGTTCTTCCCACTACTGGAAAGATCCCTCCATTTTGGGACTGTATCTCTATTCTCCATACCTGGTCCCTAAGTTACTTAATGAATGTGTTTTTCTGTAAATTGAGGCAGTTGGCCTAAATTGTCCTTCCCAGCTTTATGATTCTGTGATATATATTATCTAAGATCAGAAAGGAGTTGATATTTTTATCCCTTAGTACTCTTTTCCTTTGTTAGTACTGTTTCCAAATTAAGACATGTTTGTCCTAATCCAGCTCGAAGATAAAGCAATACTAGCAATTAGGAGTGCTAAAGTAGAGGGGAATGGGATTAAGATTAGAAAGGCTTTGAGGGAGTGATGTTTGCTGCTGAAGCAAACTCTTTCCTCTTGAAAGTTGTTTACTTTTTAAAACAAATTATCAACTAAAAAGGTAGGTAAAGGCAAATTAGATGTGAGAACAATTTCTAAATGGAGCATTAGATAATGTTCTGAATATCACAGAAGCTAAAATACAGTATTTTGTTGATAAAACTGCTACTGCGCCCAAGGATATAATCGAGTTCTACACAGCAGTCCTTTGTGCCAACAGAACTCCAGTAACCTTCGACAATAACCATGGCCCTGCGCAGGTGAGTACTCACATTTTCTTTAATGTACTTCAAAGCCATTACAATGAAATCTGTTACAGTAAAATCTTTACTTATTTTGGAAGTCCAATTAATTATTTTGAGCATTATATACAACCTGACAGATAAAATGAAATAGCAGACAACTTCCTGAGATGTTAAATCAAAGAGCAGTTGGATAATGTAGACAACCTCAATAAAGTATTCATACACTGTGCTCTGTATTAGGTGATACATAAAATTCAATTGGGGAAGGGAGATCAAAGAAGTGAATTTCCCTTGAACCAGACTTGGATAGTAATAAGAGGGTAAATTCTAAGTGAAGTATGTAATTCATAGTGCATTTTTCTTTTATAACTTTACATCTATAAACCTTTCATCTGTGCCTTTGGATACTATTTATCTTAACTCAAGAACTAGGCACCTTAAAAACCAGTTTCTATTAACTATAAAAAATACACTCAGATAAGAACTGTGTAAGATCATTTTCTTTTAGAAGAAATGAGTATTCAGGGAACTTTATTTTTAAAGGACAAATCAAGAAAGACATGGTTTTCAATTACCCAAACATGCATAATTCATCCTTAATATAAAATGTACTCAATTGGTAAATTATACATGAAATACAATGGGAATGCAATTTTACATATGTGAAGATTGCCATCTATAGCAATTTAACAGTCCAATTAATCAAGACATTGTATGTGGGGAAAAAAAAAAAAAAAAAAAGCCCCAGTCAATTTTCTTATAGTAAATGAAAAGAAATTCTGATATGGAATGGTTTGACTCTAAGCAAAAATTAAGGCACCTGCTATGAACTCAGAGCAATTAACTTTCATTTTTAAAGTTATAATAAAATAGAATTAGGTAACCAAGACAACTGTTTCAAGGTAGGAAACGGGTACATGGGTTGATTTACTGGTAGGAAAGGCAGGTAACAATGCAGTTAAAAAGCAGCTGGCCCAAGGTCAGCTGATTCCTTTCCTATTTCTTCATTATGAGCAGCTTAGCCAACTCCAAAAGTTAAGTTCCTAAACATTCTTAACCCCTCCTCTCCTTCACTTTCACCCATACTCAAGGGTATCAGCTCTCTATGAGGTTCACACTGTGTACACACTAGGTAGCAGATTTCTCTTCTGTTCCTTTTAAAACAGCTTATTTTAAAAGAGATCTCCTGAGGCAATTATCAAAGCAAAGAGAAGCAGCTTTCTTTCCAATTAATACATAGACACCCCTCAAGGCTTTTTTCACCAAGTTATGCCAAAGTGTATGAATAACCAATACTTAGTTTTTCAACATTACTAGAAAACTCAAAACCTGCCTTATACCACTCTTACCCCTACCATTAGTAAAAAGAAAATCAACTAATCAAACCTATAAAATCATACAAAGGAAGACTAAAGACTGATACTTATCAGTAAATCCATTTAATTCCAGATGTTATTCTAGCCTGATTATCTAGAATCCTAATTACATTTTAATCATGATATAAAAAGCATTTCCAAACTAAGTATAATTTTAATGTTGTAAAATGTGCCTTTTTTGGTATTAAAAGGGCTATTCACATGCTGTCTTATGGCACACTGGACTCAATAGCATGTCCTGATGAAGCATTCATTTTTTTAATAGTATTTTTTCCCTAAAATTTTATCTAGTAAACCCCTTTGATACCTTAATCCTGGTGAAATCAACGATAACAAACAAATCTTCCCTGACTTTGCTCTACCATGGTAGTTTTTATTGAATCTGCAATGACTATATTACAAAACAGTCAACCAAGTTATTTTATTTTTATGGCATCTTAGATTAGTATATTCACTCATGCAAAATTCAAGGTAGTTAATAGAAACAATATTGTTAAAATAGATGTTGTGGCTATATACATCTCCCTTTGTATTATGCATTTAGAAGTCTTTTAAAATTTTTAGGTGCGAAAGGTAATGATCAAACTAGGCTAAATGTGTTGTTCCATTTATAAGCACTATTACAGAACAGTTACATGATCCCATATGGGCGTGTGCTTTCAATTCAAGAGATAGTAGTAATAAAGTGCCTAGCTACATAAAAACCATAGATTCCAAATTTTAAATTAAGCTAATTGCATTTACACATTAGGGTTGACAAAATCTAGATGCTTTCTACATAGATTTGAATTAATTATCCGTACGGCATACAGTTTTACCAACCAACTAGAAAAACTTCCTCTTTACTGACTGAATAAGTAAAGTCCACTACTGTAGCTTAACAATCAAATTTTATTGCTTTAATCATGTGGTGCTTCTGCAAGGCACTGTGGTATGGACTAGAAAACTTGGAATGACTGGTGAAGAAACCTTGGAATGACACATGAAGGATGATATGAAAAGTCATTCTGAGGCAGGATGCTTTACTTAATTGTTTTTAACCAGGGTATCAAACATCAGGAATGAGTTCAAGTTAAAATTCACAGGAGAATGGAAACATCTTAAGGTTCAGTTACTTCACATGCCCATCCTGATACTTTGAATAATCTGGAAAATTGCTGTGAAGAGAAAAACCAAACATTAAAACAAGCTTTAAATAAGATGGGTCTGATGACTGAATAGTAAGGTAGTTCAAAAATGCTATGTACTTCATCGTAATAAGAAGGCAAGATGGAGATTAAAAAAAAATAAAAAAAGTGACATACCTACCTTAATAAAACAGTAAAATGCCCATAAATTATTCTTTCAAAATCTCTGCTTGTTTTTTATCTTGGGTGTCCAAAAAGCTTAGAACGGTAATCATTTCAGAAAGAACTTAAGGCACCAAAGTAAACAGGTTTTTCTAGTACAGAATTATTTTGGTTTATCCCTAAACAATTAAGAGTCCTTTTAAGACCTGGCTCACAACATTGCAAGTTCCCTTATTCTCACAAGACTGAAATTCAATTATCTTTAGGTTATATAAATTGCTTGGCTCTTAGCCATCTATCAGGAAAGCTTCCAATTGTTAAGTTCAGGAGAAAAGTAAAGTAAAATGCTAGACACAAATCTTAGCTAACTTTAGAATGTCAGAATGAGAAACAAAAACATGAACTTCAATATTAACTTGCATATTAAGGTAATAAATGTCTAAAAGAAAGGCAATCTGTAATCCATTTGAGAAGGCAAGAATCCATTCTCTAACAGCAATGTCAAACTTCAAAAAAATCTAAAAAAATTTACCTCACACATTAAATTGCAAATCAGGTACATTTCCTCTACAGTGAGTCAACTCTGCACCAGATTTACATAAGAAATATTTTATACCCATCTCTGACTTAAGACGTTAGATTCTGGTATATGTTAAATCAAGTCCAAACACCCATATGGATATAATTTCATGTACATGCACTTCAATTTCATAAACAACTTCTTTGCAAATGCACTAAGTTTCCAAACATTCGAATTCTCATTCTGCATGTTTTTTAAATTTTTGGTCTTAAATTTCTTCCAAGGCGATCTTTACCAAAAGCCTGACCATGACCTCCTTTCTGATCTCCTTTGAGTACAAGTCAAGCTGGGGGAAGTTTCTGGAGCATTATCTTCTGTGCTTATGTGGGACAGATAATTTGGTTCAGATGAAACAGAATTATGTGGCACTCTCGGCAGGTGGGTTAGGAACTACGCGAGTAGGACTCACCACTGATAGGTCACCACGTCATCCCAAACCCATCATCCACCCAACACCCTACCCGGTGGGAACCCCCAGAACACTTACCAGAGCCACAAACAACAAAAATGAAGAGAGCCAATAACCAGGGTCCTACAGAAGCCTTTTCTTCGGGGGCATTTCTCTGCAAAAGGAAAACGCACCATTTCAGACGCAGAGAAACAACTTAGCCTAGGGCCCCCACAGCCAGCAGCCGGTCGTCAGGCCCCTAACCTCCCCTCGGTTCCCTAGCTTCCCAGCTCTGGCACCCATTTGGTCGGGCCCCGCTGCTCAGCGGCCGATTCGCTGTCTCGGGACCCTACCCTCCACGGTACGTGGAGCCGGGGTCCAGGCCTCAGCCACGGCTGCGGAGCGAAGTGGGACACCCGCTCTTTCCATACCGAGGTCTTGGCGACGTTGCCGCGCTGGGTAATGTTCTTGCTGTGCTTCTCGTTAGCCATACGGATCCGCTGCTTAGCCACCATCTTCGCGGCGCCACCACCTGTCCGGCCACCCCTCGGACTCGCTCGCCTGCCTCCCCTCGGGCGCTGCGAGGTTTCACTCTTGGGGTCCGCGCCGCCGGAGCGAGGAAGTTCTCAGGCCGGGCACGAGCTCCAGCCGATGGGCCTGGGCGCGGCGCGCGCGGGGGCTGAGCACTAGCGGGGCGCAGGCCTCCGACAGACGACGCTGGACCGACCGGTCAAGCGGGGCTGACACGCGGAAGGAAGAGAGCAGGCCTCCGGGACGTTCTCGCGCCGCCGCCGCCGCCGCCGGGAGCGTGGAGTGAAAGAGGAAGAGCAACGCGACAGCCGGACGGTGCAGACTGCTGCCTCGAACTACTTCGGGTTCGGCTGCCAACGTCAGCACTAGGCAAGCTCCGCCCGCTGGGGAAATAAGAGAGGAGGGAGTAGGCGGGCGCATTAGCCCTCTCCAGGCCGCCCACGGCCTTTATGAAGGAGCCCTAGAGCTGCGCATGCGCATTCGGACTCCTTTACCGCTGCTCTCCAAACCGGAAATAAAGTGGCCCCGAAGGCTAGTGGCCCCGGAAATACCAACGCGCGGTCCAAAGCCTGAGGAGACGTGGTGGGGCCGGGTTCGGCTCCTGTGAACTCTGACCCGAACGCATGAGTTTCTCTTTCCGGGATAAGATGGCGCCGTCCACGCCACTCCTGGCCGGTGAGTTAGGAACGAGTGGGGAACTCTGTTTTTTCAGAGCAATTTCTTTTTGTGGCTTTGTCCTGCTCTGGTAGCGCAGAGGAAGACTTGATATGTGCTTTGCCTTTTCTTGTGGCTTGCGGAGGGGCTGGAGGACCTCTTGGGTTTTTTGGTGTAGCGTGGCAATCGGAAGTGATGTCTCCGCCTCTAGGTTCCAGTCTTCCTTCATCTCTGCCTGTTTCTTCCCTGTCTCTTCATCTTCTACAGGAATAGAAGGTGGCTGATAGAACAGAAAGTGGTCATTGGATTTGTGATCTCCTGGGTCTGCAGTATAGGAGCTCTGGTAGCGCAGTGGTTAAGGCATTGGGCCGTTAACAAAAAGATGGGCAGTTTGAACCCAACAGCCACTCTGCGGGAGAAAGATGAGGCAGTCTGCTTCCTGAAAATTTACAGTCTTGGAAACCCTATGGGGCAGTTCTGTTCTCTCCTGTAGGGTGGCTATGAGTTGGAATTGACTGGATGGCCGTGGGTTTGGTTTGGGTCTGCAATACTGGTGTTACAGGGGTCTTTATCTCGTGACAGGTCTTGACCGTGTGAAGTCATTTGCTCAGTAATAAAGACAAAAGGCAGGCATATGAGTCAGTACTCTGGAACTAAGCAAGCCAGGCAATGTATTGAATTAGGAGACAGAAAGAAAGTGACCCCAGATCTGTTCACAAATCAAGCTTCTTTGGACTCGACCTCAGGTGCCTCACCCATAAAGTGGACTTAAGATAGCATCCCTGCAAGTATTGTGCAAACCCGCAAACTGCTATGTAGCCAGTCAGCACTGGAGTTACAGAAGAAATTTGCAATTCTCTGCTCCCTCCTTCAAAGATTTTACCATATACATAAAACTGAACTTAAGTATTAACCAAATTTTGTACTCCATGTGTTGATTAGCTATAACTTTTTTTAAAGAGATGGGAGTTAATTACTGGAACCCAGTTAATTACTTGAAAAAGAGCTGTACATTCCGAAGGACCAGTCAGATGAGGTTTGTAAGACTGACTCCTTGTTGAGTGCTGTCACAACAGTTCTAACTCATAGTGTGACACAGTGTACAACAGAACAAAGCACTGCCAGGTCCTATGCCATGCCCACAATCTTTGTTATTCTTGAATCCACTGTTGCAGCCACTGTGTCAGTCCATCTTGTTGGGGGTCTTCCCCTTTCTCCCTGATCAACCAAGCATGACACCCTGTTCCAGGGACTAACAACATGACTAAAGTGGTCTGGCCATTTTCAGCTTCTAAGGAGCATTTGGTTGTACTTTTTCCAACACAGATTTTTTTTCATTCTTCTGGCAGTCTGTGGTTTGTTCAATATTGCTCACCAACGCCACAATTATAATGCATGAATTATTTTGTGGTCTTCTCTATTCATTGTCCAGCTTTCACATGCATATGCAGCTATTGAAAAGATCACAGCTTAGAGCAGGCCCAGCCTAATCTTTAGAGTGACATCTTTGCTCTTTAACACTTTAAAGAAGTCTTTGGAAGCAGATTTGCCCAGTGCAGTACTCTGTGATTTCTTCACTGCTGCTTCCATGGGTGTTAATTGCGGATCCAAGTAAAATGAAATACTTGACAACTTCAGTATTTTCTCCATTTGTCATAATGTTGCTTATAGGTCCTGTTGTGAGTATTTTGGTTTTCTATATGTTGAGGTGTAATCCCTACTGAAGGCTGTAGTCTTTGATCTTCATCAGTAAGCACTTCAGGTCTTCTCCACTTTGAGCAAGCAAGTTATGTCATCTGCATATTGCAGAATAGAGTGGAGCTGTAATAATAGTGCAGGTTTCAAGTGGTGAAGGTGTGGTCTGGCATGGTAGCAGTAAATGTAGAGATATTGTAGCAATGTTTGGTGTTGGAATGATTGTGAACATTTTAGAATTAGAACACTAGAGGACTTCTGAGGTTTTGAAACTGATTCCTAGTTTGGAGAAGATAATCAGCTTAGCTTTGGACATTGCCTCGGAGGGTGCTGGTCTAGGATATAGGGCTGTATATCTTAAGTGAGTAATGAGTAAAGAAAGGGTAGCTGGGAGGGAAAAGAGTAGAAAACTTTAAGTACAATAATGATGTTGTTGTTGTTGTTGATAGGTGCTGTTGAGTCATCTCTGACTCATAGCAACCCTATGTACAACAGAACAAAACACTGCCTGATCCTGTGTCAGCCCCACGATCTTTGCTATACCTGAGCCCATTGTTGCAGCCACTGTGTCAGTCCATCTCCTTGAAAGCCTTCCCATTTTTCATTGACCCTCCACTTTACAAAGCATGATATCCTTTTCCACGGAATGGTCCTTTCTTATAACACGACCGAAGTAGGTAATGAAGTCTGGCCATTCTCATTTCCAAGCAGCATTCTGGCTGCACTTTATTCTAGGGCAGAGTTCTTAGTTCTTTTAGCAGTCCGTGGTACTTTTAGTAGTAGTTTCCAACTCCACAACTCAAAAGAATCGACTCATCTTCAGTCTTCCTTATTCATTGTACAGCTCTCACATGTATATGAGGCAACTGAAAATACCATGGCTTGGGTTAGGCACACCTTTGTCTTCAAGGAGTTATCTTTGCTCTTCAGCACTTTAAAGAGGTCTTTTGCATCTGATATCTTGACTGCTGCTTCCATTGGTGTTGATCGTATATGAAGTCTTTTCTCCGTTTATCGTGATGCTGCTTATTGGTCCAGTTGTGAGGATTTTTGTTTTCTTTATATTGAGATGTAATCCATACTGCAGATGGTAGTCTTCAGCCTTCAGCAGTAAGTGCTCAAGTCATCCTCACTTTCAGCAAGCAAAGTTGCGTCATCAGCATATCGCAGGTTGTTAATGAGTCTTCCTGGGATCCTAATACCACATTCTTCATATAGTCTAGCTTCTTGGATTATTTGCTCGGCATACGGATATGAATAAGGGTGGTGAAAAGATACAACCCTGACACACTCTTTTCTTGATTTTAAACCATGCAGTGTCCTCTTGTTCTATTTGAACAACAGTCTCCTGGGCTATGTGCAGGTTCCTCCTGAGTGCTATTAAGTGTTCTGGAATTCTCATTCGTCTCGATGTTATCCATAATTTGCTATGATCCACACAATTGAATGCCTTTGTATAGTCGGTAAAACACACGTAAACATCTCTCTGGTATTCTTTGCTTTCAGCCAAGATCCATCTGACATTAGCAGTGTTATCTCATTCTGTATCTTCTTCTCAATCCAGCTTACATTTCTGGAAGTTCTATGTCAGTATAACTGTTGCAACCATTTTTGAATTATCTTCAGTAAGATTTTACTTGTGTGGAATATTAATGATATTGTTTGATAATTTCCTCATTCTGTGGGATCACCTTTCTTTGGAATGGGTAAAAATATGGATCTCTTCCAATCAGTTGGCTTCAGCAGGGCATCCATTTGTTGAAACATCTCAGTGGGTATTCTGTCAATTCCTGGAGCCTTGTTTTACGCCTATTCTGTCAGTGCAGCTTCAACTTCAGCCTTCAGTACCATTGGTTCTTGATCATAGGCCACCAACTGAAATGGATGAACATTGACCAATTCTTTTTGGTATGGTGACTGTGTATTCTTTTGCTGTTTCCTGCATCATTCAGTATATTGCCCATAGAACCTTACAATATTGCAACTCGAGGCTTAAATTTTTTCTTTAGTTCTTTCAGCTTAAGAAATGCCAAGCATTTTCTTCCCTTTAGGCTTTCCAACTCCATGTCTTTGCACATTTCATTATAATAATAATAAATATATTTATAACAAATATAAGAAGACTGTGTCTTCTTGAGCTGCTCTTTGAAATCTTTTGTTCAGCTCTTTTATCTGGTCATTTCTTCCATTTGCTTTAGCTACTCTACATTCAAGGGCAAGTTTCAGAGTCTTCTGACATCCATTTCGGTCTTTTCTTCCTTTCCTGTTGTGTTAGACTGGGTTCTCTAAAGAAACAAAACCGGTAAGGCTTATATATATGTGTATATATATATATATATATATGTATATATACA